GCCACAACTCTGCTTGTCTCTGGAACAGTGTCTCTTTGGTGGCTGAGCCTGGCCTCTCTGCTTTAGGAGTGTGCACCGTACCCAGGAGGCTGCTGTGAGCAGGAGCATGGAGCTGTACAGGAATGCACCCCCTACAGCCCTTGGCATCCCTGCCAAGCTCCTTCCACGTGTCCCTGAGGCTCAAGCCTCCACCTACCCCTACTGCACTGCGGCCCAGGAACTGGGGCTACTGGTCTTGGAGAACTGCCCCCAGAAGAAGCTGGAGTGCATAGGTGTGGGGGTCTGAGGGGCCCAGAGGTTTGAGAGGTGGGAGATGGGGATGTGCCTTCCCTACTAGCCTACAGGCCTGTCACTAGGCAAATATGGGGCAGTGCCTTTCAGTTTTCTCCCGTCCTGCATTATCAGGAGAGATTGGGCAGTACCAGGAGACCCCCTGATAGAGGAAACTGCATGGTCTCCCTTACACCAGGCCCCCTCTTTCACCCAGCACATCACACTCCACTGAAGTCGTTTTTCTGTACCACAGTGCGAACTCTTCGGGTCATCTGCATCTGTGCAGAAGACTACTGCCGTGCCCACGAGGCCAGGCCTGAGGCTGGATCCCAGCCCCCTGCTGCTGCCATGTGAGTCCAGAATGAGGATACTACCTGGAGGTATCCTAGTATACGTTCCTGCCCTGTGCCTGGCCAAAGAGGACCCTGGTGGCCCTGCTTCACTTAGCAGCCCCAGATTACATCACTGCAGAGAACAGCTCATTCCTACCGAGACCCTGGACTGAGACAGGGCAAGGAGAAGGGCTCCCACCCCTCAGCCATGTGTTCCCGTCCCTCTGGACGAGTTGTTGTTGCAGTACCCTCTGACTAGGCTGAGAGCTCCTTGGGATCCTGGGTCCTGGTTAACCTGGTAAGACCGAGAACTGCTCTTTGAGAAAGGCCTGCTTGGACCCCGGGTGCATACCTAGAGGAAGCAGGAAAGGAGCACTTTCAAAGTGAGGCCCCTTTCCTGTACTGATCGAGCACTGGGGCTCCCTGCACATCCAAGATGGGGCAGGTTCTTCCCACCCAAGCCACACAGCCTTGGGCTCTGGGATGCTTGAGCTTACCTCCAACTCTCCTCAACTCAGCTGTAACTGCATCCTCTGACCTGGAGTCAATGTCCACCACAGCTCTTGCATGAACTCTGACCCTGCCACCTTGTCCCAAGGACCAGGATCAGCCTTGACACCAGTCCTTGCAGACCAAGGGGCTGTTACCCTGGCCCGCACCTCGAGTCCCCCAAGTAAATGTCAGAATCAAGTACGAGGTCACCCACAAGGAGCTCAACCCAAGGGAGAGAGGGGCAGAAACTTCTCACCCACTCTAAGATTGGGTTGCTATTTCATCCTCATCACAGAGCCTGCCTCCCCTGCCCTCTTTACCCATTTTATAAAAGAGTTCCCAGGCTAAATGTTTGCAAATCACAGCTTCGACCCAAGCCACCCCCAACAGGGGGGAGCCATGTCCCTGTAGGTGGCAGGACACTGAGCAGGTACAGCTGGTGTGTGGAGCCTCCCTGGCCCATGGGAAAATGGTCAGACCCAAGCCATAGCCTCGGGTTCCAGCTGCCTCCTTGCTTCTTGGCCCCCATGCTCTTCTAAGAAGCTCTTCATATGTACCCTAACTAGTGTGAACTAGTGTGCCTAAACCTCTCCTGGGGTGGGCCCAAAGGGCCTGCTGCAGAGATGATTGTCTTCCAGTCTCAGCCGTGTGCTCCTAAGTTCCCAAAAGTGTGTGAGACCACAGCCAACTAGAAACTCAGAAGAGGCTGTGGTGTATCCTGTCTTTGGTATTGCTATTTGGGCCCAATTTTAACATGGCCAGGAGGTCTCCTGTGCTGTTTGGGGGTGGGAGTACAGGAATTGTAGTCAAGATGGCTCCAGAAAGCCAATGTCCCTTGTGGCCCTAGGCCCACTGACCGCTTTGCCTTTGCCCAGCAGTGGTGCTGATGACCTGCTGCCCATCCTGTCCTTTGTGGTGCTGAGGAGTGGCCTCCCCCAACTGGTGTCAGAATGTGCAGCCCTGGAGGAATTCATTCATGAAGGGTAGGAAGGAGCCCCAGGCTAGTAGGTGATTAGGAGACTGACATGCACTCCCCAGAGTGGGCAAGGGCTTCCCCAGGTGTGGGAAGAGCTGGAAATAGAGCAGCTGTGGCAAGAGGGACAAGGGAACCTCACCCCCAGACCTAAAGCAGTGGCTGTGATAGGCTGTGGGAGCTGCGAGGGAGGCCTGTAACCCCCCCATCACCTTTGGACAGCTCTCTGAGATCCACCTGTGCACAAGGCACTCGGGTTAGCATGCTCCATAGCCTTTAGAAGACCCTAGGCCAGAGAGAGGTAAAGGGTATCCCCTGAGCAGCATCTGCCTGCGGAAGAGCAGTGTACACTGCAGGGCATAACAGGGCCAGGACTGACATGGGGGAAAGGCCTCTTCCAACCCAGCTCCCTAACCTTAGCTGTAGCCACATCATTGTCCAAGCAAGTAGGGAATATGTTGCCTTCCAGAGGACTAGGCTGTCCATCTGTCCCCTCCAGGTGACACATCTCTTTTCCCACTTCCACATAGGTATTTAATTGGAGAAGAAGGGTACTGCCTGACATCACTGCAGAGTGCCCTGAGCTATGTGGCACTTCTGTCCCAGGGACGGCTGGACAAGTAGTGGTGGCTGGACCTCACAGACCAAAGGAGCCACAGGACCTCCACACTGTACTATATATCTGGTTTGGCGCCAGCCTGCTGTGGTGGCACTCTGCAGCTCTCGCCCACCTTCCTAACCACACATCTGTCCTGGAGGCCTAGGGTAGGGCCTCTTCTTCAGCAGGACATGGCTGGCTGAGTCAGGCCTGTTTTTGTCCTGGGCCTGCCTCTCAGACCGAATAGGAGAAATCTGTAGCTGCTGTTCCTTGGGGAGCCTGCAACACTGATGGGTCTCCGGTAAACCTGGATGGCCCCGGCCTGTTCTCATGGACACTACACAACCCCTACTGGAGCATCGACACAGAAATGGCTCCTGGGAACCTTGCTAGGGCAGTCTGGTTTTGTACCCTCCAATCTCCTGAGACAGCCAAAGTTTGTGTGAGCCAGTCTCTTGTTAGTCGATAACAAGAGCTTTACCCTTACCCCAGAGGACTGGGTGTAGGTAGTGTAAAGCTGTGTTGCTTATTTATCAGGCAGCAACTGCCTTGCTCACTTTTGCTGACCCAGGTATCATTTTGCTGCCCATGCCTGGGATATGAGCCTCTCTCCTACCGAGGTCCAGGACATCCAGCTCTGGAGTTACCTTGGTTGGGGACAGTGAACATTCAGGACACTGGCCAACACATACAGTTGTACAGCCTCTCCAGTTTCAGAGCCCAAGGGTCAGTGCCCTGACTGTTATATGCCCCCAAGTTTCCACCAACTCAGCCTGAAATAAAGAAGTGACTCCATCTAAGTCCATGTGACTTGCTCATTGACCCACTGGGCAGGCAGAACTCAGGCAACACAGACACCCTTTCTCTGCCAGTCTCCCAGATATCACAGATGACAGGGTAATGAGGGGCCACAGCCCACTCCCAGACCCTCTGCACAGAAGGGTCTTCCTAGGGCTCTTCGCATCAAGGAAAGTGTGGACATCACTCTAGGAGAGCAGAGGTCTGCAGAGTATCATTAGGAGGCTAGGATTAAGTCACTACTGTAGTTCTGAGCCTAGAGCAGTCTCCTGAAGGTGTCTCAGGAATCTTTATCCTACTCAAACACATAGGAATGCCCTGCAGTGGTTATACTTCCACATGTAGGGACATATAGTGATGTCCTGTGGGACCCTAAGAGTATCCAAGCACAGGCAACATCTTCCAGGGAGTCAAGCTGCCCCACCCAGAAAGGAAATATCCATGGCAACTGGGGTTGCTGTAAGGAGGTAGGTGGCATTCCAGTCCCAGACCACCAGAAGTGGTAGTGGGATTGTTAGAGATTCTTGGGGTAAGGCTGTATGTAAATTATTGGGCATTTATCGAACACTTGTGTTCTAAACCTGCAGGTAATGTCTTTTTTGACCCCACAAAGAAATAGATAACATGCCTCTTTGAGCCTGGCGGGCTGATTCCAGAGTCTAGTCTGCAAATGGTGAATAGAAACCTGGGACCATGACACCAGAAGCAGATGGTGGGCCCAGGTTGGCCTGGGCAGGGCAACCCAGTTCCTGGGGCACTTGACCCATGAAAGAAACCTCTGGAGTAGGAATGGGCCAGAAGCCCCTAGCAGTTTCTTCCCACCAGCATCAGGAATGGACAGGCTGGTGCCAGCTTTCACTGTCTCAATGGAGATTTCAACCCCATGTCCAGCTGCTAGTGAGCCACAAACTTGTCTCAGCTAGGCTGGGGAGATTCTCAGCAGTTAATAGCACTTGCTCTTGCCAAGGACCAGGTTTCAATTCCCAGCACCCACGTGGCAGTTCACAACCATCTGTAACTCCAGTTTTTAGGGGATCCGATGCCCTCTTCTGGCCTCCATCAGCACTTCCTACACGCAGACAGAACACCCATACGCATAAAAATAAAGGTTCAAACAAACAAAACCTTGTGTCGTGGCTGACTTGGGTTCTTGGCACTGCAGTCTCCTAGAGGCCCATGCTCCTGTGAAGTATATAGACCTTGGACATGAATGCCAGGGAACTATGGAGCCTTATGTTAATGTACCTGCCACAGGCCTTGGCTTTAACAGGGACCAGTCTAGACAATGGGTTGTGTTAAGTACGTCCTGGTGCTGAGAGTACTTGTAGGGCTGGGATCACATCAGATTGTATCACAGCACAACCCTGGGAGAACTAGACAGTGCTGTTCAGCCGACCATGGCACTAAGGGGAGGCAGATTTGTGTTCAGGTGACTGTGTGTGTGTGTGTGTGTGTGTGTGTGTGTGTGTGTGTGTGTGTGTTATGAGTCATTTTTGTTTACAACCGAAACTCAGAATTCAAAATTCATTTTGCTCTTAAATTTCTTTCTTTTTTTATTTTTTTGATTTTTTTTTTTTGAGACAGGGTTTCTCTGTGTAGCTTTGGAGCCTGTCCTGGAACTCATTCTGTAGACCAGGCTGGCCTCAAACTTACAGAGATCCACCTGCCTCTGCCTCCTGACCACTGGGATTAAAGGTATGTGCCACCACTGCCTGGCTGCCCTTAAATTTCTTATAGACAAATCAGAAAACATTTCAGCCAATGTTCTATTGTTCTGATAGTCTTTGTACAAACGAACCTTTTTTTTTGTTTTGCTTTGTTTTGAAGACAGAGTCTCATGTATCCTAGGATAGCCTCTAGCTTGCTTTATAGCATGGACAACCTTAAATTTCTCATTCTCCTGCCTCTGCCTCCCAATTGATGAGACTTCAGGGCTTTGCTACCATGTGGGTTTTATGTAATGTAAGTGGAAGCCAGGGCTTTGTACATGCTAGGCAAGCCCGCTCACAACTAATCCACAGCCCCAGCCTCCCACATGACCTTAATGAGCCAGTTGTCATCCAGTTTCTGCTGCCCACAATGTCACTGGGAAGACAAGTCTTCAAGGATCACCTTGTGCCTTCTGAGGCATTTGCTTATTCTAGGCACAGCTCTCTCAGGTTGGTTTAGGCTGAGTTCTCTCAGCAATGAAGCTTCCCACTGAGTTTTCCCTCTAGCTCACACACCAGCTGGCCTGGATTTTCTGGAAAGATTCCAGTTGAACTGGAACAAAAATTGTCATACATTTCCCACCATTTTGATTTCCTTGGCATGGTGTTGGGCTCCATAGCTGGACCTTGAAGTCCAATTTCTTTTCTTGCATCAGCAGTGTGTGGGAGGTGTCTGACTGGAACACCTTGAATTCCTCACACTTCCTACCATTGGGCTTCATTATTTGATAAACATGGATTTGTCCTTGTAGACTACCAGCTTAGAAAGAGGCCCAGCTCTCGACAGAGTTTGTGTTGTGTTGGCTGAAGGAAAAAACAAGGTGTATCTTTGGGTTAGTCCTTCAGCATTTCTAAGCCATTGTTCCTCCATAGAGCAGGGGTAAATGGCAATTCTGCTCCTGAAAATTCTAACAAGAAATAGCCCAAACTAATTACAAAAACAGTAACAACTACTATTGGGCTATATATAAAGGAAAAATATAATAATACCTGTAAGTGCAGGTGCTTTCATGTGGCACCAGGAACAGGGACCTGAAATATGGGGATTTAAGAAAAATAAAAAAAGTTTTTTTTTTTCTTGGTTTTTCGAGACAGGGTTTCTCTGTGTAGCTTTGCGCCTTTCCTGGAACTCACTTGGTAGTCCAGGCTGGCCTCGAACTCACAGAGATCCTCCAGGCTGGCCTCGAACTCACAGAGATCCGCCTGGCTCTGCCTCCCGAGTGCTGGGATTAAAGGCGTGCGCCACCACCGCCCGGCTAAAAAAAGTTTTTTAAAAAAGGAAAAAAGTTAAAGGCAAGGAACTCATGGGAATAGTGTGCACAGAGGTATAAAAGGGCAGAAGCATGCGTTGGAGGTAAGAAGATGGACAGGAAGGGTCCATGGAGCAGCGCTGGTTTGCAGAACTTCTGCACACCTGGTTGCTGGTGGGAAGAGTTAAAGTGGGACATGATTAGTTGATGAAATTCCTGGAGTTCATTAGTAACTTCAGCTTCTCTCCCTGAAGAGGGAACTCTGGATCCCAGAACTTGGTCCCCATTAGGAAGAGCAATTCAGAGGATTAGATGCAAGAAGACCAGAAAAAAATTCCTAGTAATGCTTTTCAGCTTTGGAAAGAAACAAAATCAGTAATAGATAAACATAATAGTTAAAATTAAAAATGAAAGTGATCAGAAAAAAGCAGAACTAATATGACAATAGAAAAATTAGAACCTAAATATATATTATCTAGCTGGGTGGTGGTGGTGACGCATGCCTTTAATTCCAGCCTGGTCTACAGAGAGAGTTCCAGGACAGAGAAACCCTGTCTCGGGAGAAAACAAACAGAAAGACAGATTATCTAATGTCTCTCTGCAAAGAGGTTGAGGGTTTCCTCCTCCTTGTGCTGATTTTGCTCCCCTACCTACAGCTCCGGTTTCCTCTGCTCCTAAAACCTGGCCATCAAGTGCACTTCTGATAGCATGGAACCTTTCCCCGCTGCTTTGTCTCGTTTCTCTCTGAGGTTGTTGGGAAGGCTTCTTACCCCCCATAAGAGAATTAACTCCTTTTGAGTCAAGGTCTCCCAGGCAAGAGACTTTGTATTAGCCAAAGAGATGGGAAAAGACATGGGAGGATTTTCTCTTTCACAGGTGAGTGAAACGCTCAATCCTAATAACCTAATATAGAAATGATATGCCCATTTCATTTAAGGCTCTTAAGATCTTAAGCAGGCTTGTGCTCAGTATGTACGGCTCCTTCTCCACTGTCTCTCCTTGATTCTATTTCTGGGGAAGCTTTTCTTCCCTCTGACTGGAGGATCTTAGCAAAGGCTTGTCTTACTGACAGTGAATATTTACAGTGGAAGACTGACTATTCAGAAAGATGTCAGGACCAAGCTATTAGAAATCAACAAAATAATGTGCCCATAACTTTTAAAATGTTAACAGGAGAACGTATGTATAGTGATGCTCAATAACAGATCACATATCCCCCTGAGGCTTATGGACAAATCAATGCATAAGTTACCAGATTCTGGGAAAAAAAAGACAGAGGAACTTTCTAAAATTGGACAGGGGTCTGAAAAGCCATATCAAGATTTTGTGGTGGTGCACACCTTTGATCCCAGCACTCAGGAGATAGGGACAGGTAGACCTCTGTGAATCTGAGGCCAGCCTGGGCTACAGAGTGAGTTCCAGGACAGCCAGGGCTACAAAGATTTTGTTTTTTTTTTTTTGGTTTTTTGCAGGCAGCCAATCACCTGATGGTTGATAGAGAGAGAGATGCCTACTGTGGATACCCGAAAGACTCAACCTATGGAAGATGGACGAAGAGGTTCCAAAGCATCTGCAGAGGCTACACCTGAAGAAAAGAACAGGGTGACAGAATTGTCAAGCAGTGAAGAACGGAGGCTGCCTACCAACAGTGACTCAGATGAAGAGATCAGTGACTGAGGGAAGAGACTTGGTGACATCTTAGGGGAAGGGTGTGACTGCAGAATTGCTGTTCCTTGCTGTTCTGCCTCTGTTGACTACATCTGTTACTGCTGAGACACATTGGGCTTATGTACCTACCGGATCCTCCTGTGCTTCACTTTGTTAACTGGGAAGAGAATAACATGCCTGTTTATGTCAATGACTCTGAGATTTGGGCGCCCCCCCCCCACTGCTAATCATGTTGTTCCCCAAGCAGAGACAATCATATGATAATTTAAGTATTGATGTTCACACCTTGTATGACGAATTATTAACCATTCAACATTCAAACGTAGATAAATTACCCTCTTCCATTGCTGCACAAAACCTGGAAAAGATTTTTGGTTATTATTTTTCTGTCTCTAATTGGACTTCCAAACTATGGTCCATAGGAATGTTGCTGGAAGCTTTTTGCTAGCTATACTGCCTTAAAATTTATTTGCTACTTCATGTCTGCTTTAAAAACTGACTTGCATACCCTAAATTTAAAAAATAAAAAAGCAGGAATTGGGCTGGAGAGATGGCTCAGAGGTTAAGAGCTTTTCCAGAGGTCCTGAGTTCAATTCCCAGCAACCACATGGTGGCTCACAACCATCTGTAATGAGATCTGGCACCCTCTTCTGTATACATAACAAATAAATAAATCTTTAAAAAAAAAAAAAGCAGGAATTGCAGGGAACCATGGAGCTGGCTTAGCCCAGCTACCTTGAGAGGCATTTGTCATAGGTTTTTCAGGTGAGAGTCCATGGCTCCTGGGACACAAGGTGCCTTCCAGTTCCTGGGAGACTGAAGCACCCACCCAGGCAGTGAAGTGTTCAGGTCGTTTTGGGTTTATTTCGCTGAATGTTCCCTTAGCAGTCAAGGAAGGATGGAAGCTTGACAGAACAATTGGTCTTAGACATTAATCTTGCGTACCCTGTATAGCTTGGAAACTTCATTGTATCCTTGCAACTACACCTGTATTGATCCTGGCAATTGCCATTATATTGTCTCCGATAAAGGTATAAAAAGTCTGATTGCTCTAACTAAACTAAACTAAAATTGTCACAGCCTCAGTTTGCTATGGCCCTCCCAACCAGCCAGATTTAGTTCCTTGTGGCCATATCAGGTGACCTTGGCCCAGTAAGTAAGCTCAGGCACCTACCAATAACCAGACCTAGTAGGTGGCTCATACCTATAATTCCAAAGGCTCTCAAGCTCTAGGCCAGCTGAGCTACACAGCAAAACTCTTTAAAGAGGGAAAAAAATACCAAGGAGTATAAAAGAAGTTAAAAATCACAACCACAATCAAGAGATGAAAGTCAAAGCAGTAACAGCTCCATGCATTGGATTGAGGAAAACCTCAGGAGACCGGCCAAGGCTGCACGTGATGGCGTAAGGAGGACACGGCTGTGGATGAACCGAGTGGAAGCCAGTTTACAGGCCTAGGCAGGATAAGTATGAATGGCCTTGATCTTGCAAATCTGCCTTGGTAAAACCAAGGTCCACAGAGGATGTGCAGAGCACCAAGGACATGCAATGACATATTGCCCGCCCTGGGAGAGCAAGAACGGTAAGTAGTAATGGGAGCAGAACAAATTACCCTAACTTACTGGCGCAAATGCACAGGCCGTTTATATTGTTCATGCCCCTTCCAGTTTAGATGAGGTCCATGAGGAGAGCTTGTCTCTACCCACCTCCTATCATCAGCTATGGCACTTTCCAGGTTGGAATTGACGATAAGAGGCTGAGTCTGTCGGAAGATCTGTCTTAAATCAGTGCTGATGGTTCACAGGGACCTCAGCTAAAGCTGTCAGCACTCCGTAAGACTTGTATGAGTATTCTATAAGTGCTCTAACAAACCACCGCAAAATGGGGGAGGGGACTTAAAACAACAGAAATGGACCTTTACAACTCTGAAGGCAACAAATCTAGAATCATCAGGGCTGCACTTCCCATAAACACACTAGTGGAGGATCCTTCCTGCCTCCACCAGCTCCTAGAGGCTTTCAGAATTCCTTGGCTTTGGAGCTATAGCCCATCTTTGGCTCCATCTTCATAGAGCTTTCTGTATATAAAACTCTTCTTATAAGAACATCAATATTATTAGTTTAAGGCTCATCCAGACTAATCATTCTAATCCAGACTAACCTCTTAGTTACAAATGGTAAGCAAAACAAAACAAAAAACATTAGCCCACTACAAGGCCTCACCATTAGTTTAACAGTTTCTGTTTGTTTTGTTTTGTTTTTTTTCAATGTTAGAGGCTGAACATAGGGCCTTGCTCTACCTCTGAACCCAGCCGAAGGCCCCAAGCCTCTTCATTTTGATGTTAGCTCCCTCATTATACAGCACTGGGATCCAGGAGCGTCTTGAGACAAGACAGGCATGGAAACTATGCTTTGGCCAAGGAAATTTTAAACAATGTCACCATGAGTTGAAGCAACCTCAAAAGTCAACCAATGTCCCCTTTGGACTGGTGTGGGCACACAGCAAAAAGCTCAGTGATAGCCAGCAGGATGCCTGAAGAGAGCTGCCTACTTAGTTCCACTGTTTTAAGTCCTGCAAATCTGAGGAATTCTACAAGAAAGCAGACACCTTCCCTATGCTGGGTTCTATCTCATCAAACTTGGCTTAGGTTTGGTGACCTGGAGAGATGAGGGGTACAGCCTGTCCAGGAAGGGATCTAACAAAAGATATTGCTTGCATGAAGCTTAGGTCTTAGGATTAGGGAGAAGGTGCCTCAGGTCCTGAGTGAGGCACAAGAAACCACAGCAAGTCAGGGCACAGTTCCCCTGAAGTCTTACAGTCTTGGTGAATTCACAATCCAGGGTAGTTTTGAAGACCTGTAGGTCACACACTTAAGGAAGCACCTTGTCCTAGAGGGTGAACACCTTCATCCTACTTCAAATACTCCCTAACCGACTTTCTCAGGGACTGGGAAAGGAAGTCTGCAGCAGCAGACTCCGAGGCCAGCCCTGTTGTGTTGTTTTGCTATTTATGTTTATGAACGTTTTGCCTGTTTGTATACGTACATCAAATGTGTGCCAGGTGCACAGGCCAGAAGTGGGTGTTGGGAGTTACAGACGGTTGTGAGCTGCCATGTAAGTTGCTCTTACCCACTGAGTAATCCTCCACCCCCACCCGTTCTAAATTGCACTTAAATACATATATTTGAGCTCCTTTGGTCCATGATCCCCCAGCCAAGTCGGGCCCCGCCTTGCCGGTATTTGGCTATTCTGCGGGTTGGCTGGAGGAACCGGAGTCCAGCCTGCTCCTTTAACCCGGTGAGGTTTCACTAGTTATGTCTCAGTGACCTGTATTACACACCCGCTGTGCACTCCCACTCTCTGGCCCCGAACTAGGTGATTAACGACCTTAGACTAGTTGAAAGACTGGGGACTTGGCTACTGAATTTCAGAGGACCTCAAGGCGGGCCACCCTCTGCCTGGGCCAGGCCACGCCCACACCGCCACCCTCCCACTTAGCCGAAAGGGTGGCACCCGATTCCAGCCTCGCCCCCCGACGTCACGTCCAAGGCCAAGGGGCGGGCTTGACTCTCTGCGGAAGCGAGAGGCTAGACCCAGGCCCAAGCGCAGCTCTCTGGGACCGCTGGGGACTAGCAGGTAGCACCGCCGCCCGCGGGGTCTACAGTATGGTCGGTCAGTGGGAAAGGGGCGCTGGTTGCCAGAGGCTCAGCTGGCGGGAGCGGGTATCCGCTGGAGGAGGGTGCTGTTGATACGAGGGCGCTCAGCAAGCGGGTTTGGAGGTCTCCTGGGGAGGGGAAGCTATAGATACCCCGGTCACCCAGCTGTCGGCGTCCACATCTCCTGGCTGAAGGGGACCTTAGATCCCGAGACTCGCTAAGCTGGCAGGGTCTCTGTTTCCAGGTTGGAGGGGGCCCTGGGGTTGCTGGGTGCGGGCTCGGGAGTCGCACAGCTGAGGCGACATGGTCTCTAGTTTGACACCTCGTCCCGCGCTCGGTCAGGATGGGCAGCAGCTCGCTGTCAGAGGACTATCGCCTGTGCCTGGAGCGCGAGCTGCGGCGGGGCCGCGCGGGCGTCTGCGGCGACCCCTCGCTGCGCGCGGTGCTCTGGCAGATTCTGGTGGAGGACTTTGACCTGCACGGGGCGCTACAGGACGACGCGCTGGCGCTGTTCACTGACGGCCTGTGGGGCCGTGCTGACCTGGCGCCTGCCCTACACGATCTAGCCCGCGCCTTCGAACTCCTGGAGCTGGCCGCTGTGCACCTGTACCTGCTGCCCTGGAGAAAGGAGTTCACCACCATCAAGGTATGGTTTGGTGATGTTCCTCCACTCCCTTCCATGTCCAGGCTGTTGGGGGCTGCCGGTCCTCTTGTGGGGAAGAGTTCCGTGTTTTAAGGGTCGTGGGCGTGTTGGGCTGCATGCCTACCAGGGAGTCATTCACCTAAAACTTACATTGCTGTCCTCAAAGTAGTCTCACTGCCCTAGTTGCTATGGGAATCCTAGGATAGACGTGGGTGGGAGGGTGAGGGAGGTACTTGATGTCCTATGGTCATCCTAACTCCCCCAGGATGTGGACTGATCCCATCTGTAAAAGGAGACCAGTAAGACTAGGAAGGAAACAGCAGGCCGGGGACTGGAGCACAGACCTTGTTCCTGCCTGGGTCTAGGTTGGGCGGCTAGGTCCAGGGCTGGCCTGGTCCTTCGGTCAGCTGACGGACCACCAAGAGGGGGCAGGGCCGCTCTGAGCTAATTTTGAGTGGGAAGGCAATGACGTCAGTGTGCACGTGGGCGAGGTAAACCTCCACTGGTTGTCATGGCAGCGTCTCCCCCTCCACACCCCTTTCTCTCCCCAACCCACTAGCCGGCTGCTCCATGGGGACACCTGAGATCCTGGAACTTTCATTCATCCTTTCAGGCTAGAGGCCCGCCCACCAGCCCCAAAGGACAAAGGCAGACAGGCTTGGTCTTGAAATAGGCTAGCTCTGGGATAGTGTTGGGATGGAGCTTGTGCGGGTAGTCTCCTAGTTGTGGGTTTTAGATAAGTTACCTACTCCCTTTACGCCCTTTCCTCCTAAGAGGCCATGAGATCAGTCAAGGTACAAAGCCCTAAGAAGGGTGCTGTGGCCAGTGTCTATTGTCCATGACCTCTTCCTAAAGGTTCTATGCGGGGAAGTGCCCCGAGGATGCCTAGAGCTGTAGACTTTCTTTCCCATATGGGAAAGACTCAAAATTACCCCGATGCTTTGACTCCACATGTAGCTTTGATCTAGAAAGCACATTCCCATCTGTTAGTGTAGTCCTCTCACGCAGCTGCACATTAGACTCTGGAATACTCCACAGCAAGGGGCAGTGAAACCAAAACACCTGGTTTGATAGAGATCGCCAGGATTCACGGGGGAGGAGGTGACAGAAACAAAGAGCAGATAGACTTTAAGAGGCTACCCGGCAACCGGGTGCAGTGGAATATTCCTGTCGGCTGAGGCAGAACGGTGAGTTTAGGGTCAAGCTGTTTCAAAATAAAAGACCTAAAGAGCCTGGCAGTGATGGCACAGGCCGTTAATCCTAGCACCTGGGAGGCAGAGGCAGGTGGACCTCCAAGTTCCAGCCCAGTCTGGTCTACAGAACAAGTTCCAGGATAGTCAGGGCTACACAGAGAAACCCCATCTTGGGGTGGGGGGTGGGAACCTAAAGGGCTAGGGGATATGGCTCAGTGGTACAATGCTTGCTTAGCATAGACAAGGCTTTAGGTTCTCCCCTAGGGGGAAAAAGACCCAGGCTCACTCCAGACAGATGAAAACAATCTCTGGGGTGAACACAAACTTCAGAAGTGGACCAAGGTCATGGCAATACTGAGTCCACATAGGCTGCACCCAGGAACCTCCACGGAAGAGCATTCCTGACCAGGACCCTTCCTTGCAGACCTTCTCAGGGGGCTATGTGCATGTGCTGAAGGGCGTACTCTCTGAGGAGCTCCTGACTCGAAGCTTCCAGAAGATGGGCTACGTGCGCAGGGACAACCACCGCCTAATGGTGACCACCCCACCCCCTGCCTGCCAACTGGTTCAGGTGGCCCTAGGCTGCTTTGCTCTTCGGCTGGAGTGTGAGATCCTAAGCGAGGTGCTGACCCAGCTGGGCACAAGTGTGCTACCAGCTGAGGAGCTGCTCCGAGCACGACGGGCTAGTGGGGATGTTGCCTCCTGTGTGGCCTGGCTGCAGCAGAGACTGGCCCAGGATGAGGAGCCACCACCCCTGCCCCCCCGGGGCACATCTGCTGCTTATGGGGCCCCCGTGGACCTGTATCAGGACCTGCAGGAGGATGAGAGCTCAGAGGCCAGTCTGTATGGTGAGCCCTCTCCAGGGCTGGACTCACCCCCTGTGGAACTGGCATATAGGCCACCACTCTGGGAGCAGAGTGCCAAACTCTGGGGCTCTGGGGGCCAGCCCTGGGAACCCCCAGCTGATGACCTACATCGGGCCAGCAGCCCACCATATGGGGCTCTGGAAGAGGAGCTGGAGCCAGAACCCTCTGCTTTCTCCTTCCTCTCTCTGCGCCGTGAGCTGAGTCGGTCAGGGGACTTAGCTACCCCTGAAGCCCCTGGAAGCTCTGGGCAGGCCAGCCCCCGTCACAGGCAGGCAGAAGGAACACCAGCCTCAGGCTATGGGCCTGTTGTTGAGCCTCTGGGCTACCAGGCACACAGCTGCTTGAGCCCTGGTAACCTGCCCACCCTCTGCTGTGACACCTGCCACCAGTTACACGCTACCCACTGCACTGCCCTATCAGCCTGCCGCCCAAGTCATTCATTGCGCATACTTCTTGGTGACAACCAGAGACGCCTGTGGCTGCAACGAGCACAGGTGGATACCCTAATCTATGACAGTCCTGGAGCCCATCCCTAGGCCCAGCTGGACCCCCAAGACAAGAGTCTGGGGAGATGGTTTCCATGGTGCTTCTTTTGGGAAAGGGCCTAGGCCACTGGCTGCCCTGGCCCTCCTATTCCCCGGGGGAGTCCAGTACCTACAGTTGGAAGAGGGTAGAGCCTTCATGGAGTGCTCTTGCCTGGGGCCTCTGGCCCTCCTCACTGACATGCCCATGTCTCAGTCCTGTCTAGAGCAGGCCCTGTGATGAATTAACAAGATCCTTCCCTCATGTCCCTATCTTTATGCCCAGATGTGTTGGGTAAAGAAGTCCAGGTTGTCCATGTTACAGTACCCAAACTCACTCCAGGAAGGACCCCACTCTGTGAACTATCTGAACCTCCCTACCCGCTCCCTGCAGTCTATGGTTCAGGATATGTCCCTCTCTCCGTGTGCTGAGAAATCTTCACCCAGGGGCTTGCTCAACGGCCTGCAGACACCTGGGTTAAATTTGGACCAAGTGAGAGGGTCTGACAGGGCCCAGCTCACTTAACTGTGGAGCACCTTGCTAACCCCCGCTGTTTGTAAGGAACCCTGCCAAAAACAGGCAGTGAGAGGAGCTGTCATCCCCCAAATCCAGAAGAAATGGTTCTCAACAACCAGCTGCCTACCAGCCAAAGAGGGGGTGAGCATATACAGGCCACCCCTTGGGCTACTGCCAAAAAGCAGCTCACTGCCCCATGTAACTCCTTGAAGGCACACAGATAACCAGGAAGATCGAAGTTACACCCTCTTTTCCCTTGGGGTAGCCCAAGGCCCCTCACTGGGGTCCCTAAACCAGTAATCCACAGGCTAGTGATAATGAAGGCCTGGGTTCTCATCAACCACATGGAGGCCCAGGTACAGCCATTGCTGACCTGCAACACTTCCTCTCCAGGCACCCCCTCGGCCATGCCTGTTCCTATCCTCACTCCCAGCCCTTCAGAAGACACTGTCCATGTTGCATGGATCAAAACCCCAGAGAACATTAAAGGATTGTGAAACTGTCTATTGGAAAGGCTTTTTATCTTTCCACCCCTGGAAAAGGGGCCCACCAATTCTTTCCCTGGGTATCAGTGCCAGCCACATCCACCAAGGGCTCTCATTCTGACAGTCTTAAAAGCATCCTATCATGGCCCCAACCAACACTTACTGCCTCCCTCCCACCTGAAGCCCACCATCCCTGCCCAGGGTCACTATAGCCTGTCTGTCCCGGGCAGCTCCTAGTGACCAAGCAGGAACAGCACGGTCTCCTGGGCCTGCTCACTCCAGGCTAATGCCTAGCTCCAGTTCCAGCACTCCACTGATGTGGACCTTTAGGCCTCTCAGCACTAGCCCTGCCTCACCAGAAGCACAGCTTCACTGACAGACAAGGCTGCCAGGAGTAGCCGCCCACCAGATGGCGCTACAACAGTCCAGTCTAAGCTGTGTGTCCCCACTCGGCAACACCCCTGTCCATAATCGACTTGCATCTGGGCACAGAAGGTAGCAGGGAGGAGTCATCTGAAGATGTTAGCTGGAGGAGCCAAAGGCATCTTGGCCTGGAGGGCCCTCCCAGTCTGCCGACTGCTCCATGAGGATGTGTAGGGATGGGCTGGACCCACCATTAGGGCTTGCATCGTTTGCTCTGCCCCTCAGTGGCAGCTGGGGCAGCACGCTTATTGCGGTGGTGGGGGAAGGTGGGCATGAGTTCCGGTTCGCAGGCTGCAGGAGAAGGAGAGCTTCAGTGATGGCTCAGAGAAGGGGTTCCTGGTGGGGCATGCTCCAGGTCTAGATGGGACTCCTCACTTCAGCTAGCCCTGACCCTCATCTGCTCCCTTTCTTCTCCTCTGTGGAGTCTGCCCACATTCCACCCATACAAACCTGCATTGGGAACCCACCCAATATGGACAAACAGGGCTTTCTGTCAAGCCCCCAAAGAGGAGAACCCAAGGAGATCTGCAGAACTCACGTAGGGGCTTCTCTTTGAAGTAGGAGCTCTCCAGACAGTCCCCCGCAGTTGCCCTAGAGAATGACAGTGACCTTTGGCTTCAAAGAGGCCTATTTCACTCAAAGCACAGCCAGGCTCAACAGCCCAATTCAACCTCCAACAAATGGGGGCTGGAGGCCTAGGAACTGACAGGCAGCTCAGAATGGACACCTGGCACTTATGGGAAGGCATCTGCAGTCTGTGTTGTGAGAAACCATCTATAAAAGGTTTGGCCGGGTGGTGGTGGCAGCGGCACACGCCTTTAATCCCAGCACTCGGGAGGCAGAGGCAGGCGGATCTTTGTGAGTTTGAGGCCAGCCTGGGCTACAGAGTGAGTTCTAGGAAAGGCTCCAAAGCTACACAGAGAAACCTTGTCTCGAAAAACCAAAAAAAAAGGTTTGTTGAATTGAGATGGCTCCGTGCTGGAGTGATTGCCTAGCATGTACAAGGCCAGAGTTTCCCATACTCCACACCACAAAAAGTAAATGAAGGATCTGGGTTTAAGGTTGTCCTTCCACCCTGAAGTCAGGGCCCTCTCCTCCTGAGGGGAATGGGCCATGGAGCTGCCTGTAGGAAGGGTCTGTACCTTTTCTTAGGGTCATACATGAAGAGGAAATTGAGCAGACGAAGTCCGGCCTCTGAGAGCCACGGGAACTTGTGCTTGAGATTGTTGTAGGGCTGCTTCCTCAAGCTGTACTGGCCAGCCAGCGGCAGCTTGGAAAACCCCTGTAGGAGACAGGGGCTAGAGCTACAGGGCCACCAGGCACAGACGGGGATTGAGGGTGGTCCATAATACCCACCGGCCAGATATTCTCACTCGGTGTCCCCAGCAGCTGTACAATCAGGTCGATCTGGTGGATCTCGGAAGTGCCAGGGAGAAGGGGTTTGTGGGCCAGCAGCTCTGCCAGGATGCAGCCAACAGCCCTGCAGAAGCAGCCAATCTCTGCTTAGCCCCACGTCAACGCACTCATGAAGAAGTAGGCAGGTGGCCATGAGGCTCCCCCACCAGGTCTGCAGATGCTGCCTTGGGAGAGCGGACCTCAGTGCCAGAGGCCAGTGAGTATTCTAGCTCTGTTCTCATGCTTCCCCTTAGGTTCCAAGGTAGGCTCACCACCACAGCACCAATCCTGCTCCCCCTGTCCCAGGGCTGACCTCCAGGGCCAGGTCACTTGAGGCCCCAGGAGCAGAAACCACTCCTACCACATGTCAATGCTGGTAGTCTGGGTAGTAGTTCCAAGCAGCAGCTCTGGGGCTCGGTACCTGTAGACAAAGGCCCCAATTTACCTCTGGTCAGCTCCTCTTCTTCAGCCTGAGCTCCCTCAGGATCCCCAGTGGCCTGAGAAACAGGGTCACTACTCATAGCCTGGGGTACTCTCTACCCTAAGCCTGAGAGAGCCCCCATGTCTAAATTACAGGAACCAAGGGAATCACTAGCTTGCTGTCAGGTGGAGGTTGAAAGACATGCAGCTGGCCGAGCAGCAGTGGTGCACACCTTTAATCCCAGTGCTTGGGAGGCAGAGGCAGGTGGATCTCTGTGAGTTCGAGGCCACTCTGGTCTACAAAGGGAGTTCCAGGATAGTCAAGACTGTTACACAAAGAAACTCTGTCTCGAAAACAAAAACAAAAAAACAAAAAAAGACATGCAGCTAAGGCCATATAAGGATCCAGATGAGAATGTGAGGGATATCAATGTCCTGCCCTTTGCCACAGCCTCATTCTGCCCTAAAAACAACACAGAAAGCTACCCTTCCCTTCCTGAGACAGCGAGGCTGTTCATACCTATTCCAGTGCAGGACAGCATTTCTTTCTTTGGGTTTTTTGTTGTTTTTGTTTTTGAAGACAGGGTTTCTCTTTGTAGCCCTGGCTGTCCTGGAACTCACTCTGTAGACCAGGCTGACCTCGAACTCAGAGATCTGCCTGCCTCTGCCTCCCCAGTGCTGGGATTAACCGTGTGTCAGGCCTTTTTGCAGCATCTGTCTCAAATGCAAAGGTCCTGTGAAAGGCTACCCATTCCTATGGGCCACCACAATTCTAAGGAACTCACCAGAGGGTAACAACCTTGGGAGTCATTGGCTTTACTGGAACACCATAGGCCCGAGCCAGGCCAAAATCCGCTGTAGAAGGAGAGAGTGGAGAGAAAATATCCTCAATGAGAACAGACAAGCTGCTAGCTGGAAAGAGCTGGACTAATATGGCCTGAGGCCTGGAAGACAGACATGCCATCTCTGGCTTTCGAGGCTACACTGACATCCCCTACCCCTAAGGGCATGCTCAAAGCAACCCACCCCCACATATGTGGGTCAGCACCCAGCACCCACCTGTCTTTACACAGCCCTTATCTGTCATGAGCAGGTTGGACACCTTCAGATCCCTGGGTCAGAAAGAAAGCATTGGTTTTCTAAGTTCCAAAGGGCAACCAGGCTGTCATCACAGCCCAACACTTTCCTGGCATTTAACTGAGGTCTTCTAAAATCAAGAGGGCAGGTAGTAGTATGGAACTGGCTGCTGGGAAGCCAGCAATCTCAGTAACTGAGCAAGAAGTAGAGGCCAGGTCTCCAACCCTGCTTCTTCTTCTCCATGTGTTGTTCCAGCAGCCCCAGCACAGCGGCCAAACAAATGGGCTCACAGTCCTCTCTACTGACAGCCAGCTCCTGGCTAAGACTCACTGTAGGTAGGCGCGCGCTCTCTCTACTGACGGCTTCTGGCTGCTGTTCTCTCATCTACCCACCCACCTTCTATTTCCCAGAAATATGAGGGCTGCTCAGGCTTGTTTGATCCAAGATCCTTGCCTGGGAGCAGTCAAGAGAATTTCTATTGGGTGTTTGCTCCTCTCCTGAAGATATTCAGAATGAGGCACTGTGGGAAGCCAAAACTATTCCTGGCCCTCTCCCTCCCACGCCTCAGACACCCCCAACACATCTTCCTCCTGGTTGTCCCTGCCCACCTGTGGATGATGAAGTTCCTGTGCAGGTACTGAAGGCCACGAAGCACCTGTAGCATGATGCATTTAACCTAGGAGGAGGTTCAGAAGCATAGGCTGGAGAGCTTTGACACACTGCCCGGAAGTCACCAGCAGCCGCAGGAGCGTGGCTGTTGCTATGTCCTGCATAGCTAAGACAGTACCGCAATGGACTTATTTATTTATTGTATATATGAGCATGTGGTACACATCTTTGTATATATGTGGGTGCACAATATATGTGTGGGTGTGTGTGTATGTGTGTGAAGACAAGAGGCTGACATCAAGTGTCTTCATCAATTGCTTTCTACCTTATATATATTGCCTAGAAATCCTGTCTCTACTACCTCCCTTATACAGTGACTAGAGTCAAGCTACCATACTCACCTAACATTTATATGGGTGTTAGGGAGCCGAACTCTGGTCATTACGTGCTGTGAGCCACAGAAATATGAAGTAGGAATTCAGCTGGCAATGGTAAAAGCTATTACCTGGAAGAGTTAAGAACTCTTCTAGAGGATAAAGGATAAAGCCAAAACTCAAGGAGCATTGGTGATATTAGCTGTTTCCAGCAGTGAATCTCTTGTGTGCTATTGTAGCTTTCCCATTTGATTCCTTTCTAAGAACTTCTAACAATGTGGTTGATCATTCATTGGGCCCAATTTCCCCTATACTGTTGGGGTATTTGGATAACATCCTCCAACTGTGTGCCTTTCTGTAATTATCTCTATTAACAAATATCTGGCCAGAGTCATCTCTGGACAAAAGGATTTTATCTGAGATACTCTCAAACATCCAAGGACAGACTACAGGTAGATAAGCATCCAGACGACCTGCTAGTCTCATGAAATAAGGTAAATATCTTACTGAGACAACCACCAAAGCCAGGTGGATGTTAAGTACAAAGCTTTGTTTCTTGTGCAAATTAAGCTTAAACCCTCCTGTATCAATCATTCCCCTTTTGGGTTGTAATAGAAACCCTGACAGTCACTGCCTGATGAAAAACTCTTATCTGCCTTTATGACCCTGAAAAAATTCTAGCCTTGTGACCTTGCTTTGGCCAGAGACTTGCTGATTGTATGGGTCTATAACTGGAAACCTCAGAGACTGGGGGACTGAGATGGGAGAAGTAAGATAGAGCTAAGAGGGAACAGCAGAAAAATGTAGAGAGAATCAGGCAAGGAGGAGCTAAGTATGAGAGCAGAAAAGAAGCTGTGAGGAGAGAACTGACTCAGAAGAATAAAGTGAATGGACTAAAGAGCTTCGTGTACGTAGATTCATTTGATATCCTTAAGATTAGATGCCTTAGCTGCTTGTTAGATTCTTCCATGGACCCTGGGAAAAGGCTATTAGGGGCTGGACCCCAATAGTCTTTGACACTCATACTTGTATGCACACATGCACTTTACCCTCTGAGCCACTTCTCCAGTCCCCCTTTCTTTCCAGTAGCCTGATACATGGACTGAGAAGACCTGGGGCCAACTCCCAACTCCCAGGTCAGGGTCCCCAAGCTCCCACAGTACCCCACAGGGAATAATTCAACTCATTAAGGCCCTAGAAAAAGGCTGTGGGTAACACCATCCATTTGCAGCCATCACGTTCAATACAGCTGCCCACCAACCAGGTGCAGCACCTCCCTGACCCACCTGGGCCTCAGAGAAGGGTGTTGGCATATTTTCCAATAGGCTGGCCAGATCTTGTTCACAGTAACCCATCACCAGGAAGATGCTAGAAGGAAAAAAGAGAAAACACAGGCCACCTTCTATTTTCTCCCTAGTAGGTAAAGAGGTCTGTGCCTGCCGTAGAAAGGTTAGCCCCGGGAGAGGGGCCCTTTTGAGTAGGATAGCCTCAGGAAACCACACACCTCTCCAAGTGGTTGCCCACAACCACCTCCTTCAGCTCCACAATGTTTGGATGGCGGAGACGCAAGAGCAATGTGATCTCACGCAGGCTGCTGATGGGAATGCCTGTAACCAAAGGGGTCAATGAACTCTACTCCACTACACCCCATAAACACTGTCCCCTCATCGGGGAAATCAGTGAGACCAACACCACTCTTACTTCAGCACTCATTAGGGATGCCAAGCGAGTGGGTGGGGTACTGGTGTGTGTGGAGAGTGACGGTGAACTCGCCAGAGGATGGGGCAAAGGGTTTGGAGAGAATGTACAGTTTCACAGTTAGCCAAGGTAGGGAAAGTCTGGCAGGGCCCAGGGAGCTCAAGCTCTGGCTGCAGTGACAGGCTGGGTCAGCTCCTTAACCGCCACACACACACACACACACCCTCAGGAGCAGTCCTGAGAAACTGAGGTAACTTGTGCTTTTCTACCCTCCTGCTTTGATGCTCCAGGCAGGGTGGTCCTGCACCCTGTTCCCAGCTCACCGTCTTTTTCTTTGTCCATCCGTACCTTCTTCAGGGCAACAATTTCATCTGTCTGGGTATCCCGGGCCCGATCTGAAATAGAAGCACAGATGTAACGGAGTCCACTTCAGACTGTCACAGCCCCATCTTGCCACACAGAGCCTCTTTTATGAGTTTCTTGGGTTTTCCCTCTCTGACAACCTAATACCCAGCAGCACTCAGTCCTTCCTTCATTTTCGAGATTTGAGCTTGGGGATCCTCACTGGAGCTGGGCTGGGAGCTTCCAGTTCCGCGCTGAGCTGACACCTGGCCAGCAGCAGCTCCTGTGGTAAGGAGCTCTCCTTGAGCATCCCCTTCACACGCGCCCACTGCTTTGTGTACACTTGTGCTACACTCTAATAGCAAGAAAAGTACTCTATCTTGGGGAGGGGGGACACGGACTTATTTTATAGGATAAAGGCTTATAAAACATTTTGTTTACGTATGAAACTTCCAAATACTTGGCAAAATGACTCACAACACCCACGGAGCTGCAAGGGGCCTTTAGAAGTGGTACATTTTATTGATCAGTTATCTCCACTCCACAGTTACGTATTTGGATTGCTGACATCAGCAACCTGATGCTTACGCTTATCCAGTCATGGTGTAAATTTTGTGGAAATCACACCAGGAATTAAAGTTTGGGAGCAAGCGTTAGCCTGGAGTACAGAGTATGAGCCTTCCATTACCACACAGCTGTAGCTACAAGACTCCTGCCTTGACCACTCACACACGATGCCATAGGTGCCCTCGCCGATTCGGTTCAGCTTCTCAAACTCCTTAACGCTCCGGCATCTTCCAAGCTGAAAGACAAAGAGTAGCCAGTGTGGGGATATGGAAGCTAACAGCACAAGTGATGATGGATCTTACCCACATCTGGCACTGAGAAGCTTGCTTACATCTTGCTCACCAAACAGAAAAGCAACCACGTACTTGGAATTTCCTGATGAGCAGAGGGGAAGAAAGACACTGGAACCACTTTGAAGTATTGAAAGAGACCTAATTACTCCCTCCAATTCAGTATTCCAGATGTCTGGTGTCTAGTAACAAATGGCCATGTATACAAACACCTCTGTGGAGAAGGATCCTGTCTCCAACATGCAGTCACAACTTCTTACTTGTGAGGAAACCTATCGGGGATATCATTTATGAGATCTGAGAAGGGACTTCCAGATCAATGAAAGCTAGTGAGTCCACTTCCTTTTGCAGGCTGGGATGAAGATGAGGGTCAGGTGGAGCAACAGAACAGAACTAGTAGCCTCTAGAATTTTAGGGGTCAGAGAAATAGCTTGCTTGAGCCACAGTATTCTGGGGGTCTTACTGGGGATTCTGTAACCTAATACATCTTCAGTGCAGTGCCTTTGTAGGTGGATTAAATAAGCACTTCTTGGATATAGAGGGACCTCAGCAATGTTAGGATTCTATTATGCCAGTTCCCAGCTGGCTTTGCTTCTCTCTCTCTCTCTCTCTCTCTCTCTCTCTCTCTCTCTCTCTCTCTCTCTCTCGGTTTTTTTGAGACAGGGTTTCTCTGTGTAGTCCTGGCTGTCCTGGAACTCCCTCTGTTGACCAGGCTGGCCTCAAACTCACAGAGATCTGCCTGCTTCAGCCTCCCAAGTGCTGGGATTAAAGGCATGCACCACCACCGCCCAGCTTGGCTTCCCTGGGTTTTGTTAATTTCTGATACCTGATGCTTTTAATGATCCACTTTTTTAAAAAGATCTATTTATTTACTATGTATACAGTATATATACTATGTATATATAAACTATGTATACAGTATATGCCTGCACACCAGGAGAGGGCATCAAATTTAATTATAGATGGTTCTGAGCCACCATGTGGTTGTTGGGAATTGAACTCAGAACCTCTGGAAGAAGAGCCAGTGCTCTTAACCTCTGAGCCCCCACGATCCACTCTTTAATCTAGCTTCTCACACTCCTCTCCCCTTAGACTTCTTGTTTACTCTGCACTTCCCTTCACCATGACTCTGTGCTGCCACCTGAGTTTGGCAAGCCATTCCTTGTCAGATCTGTTCAAATCCTGGCTACATTTCCTGGTCCAAAACAAATGTCAACTCTTCTACATATCTCTTACAAACTATACTTCTTTTCTCCAAAATCTCCATTTTTTTTTTTTTATCTTTGCTTGTTTTTGAGGTCTCAACTGTAGCCCAGGCTGCCCTCCAACTTGGGGTGATCATCCTGCCTCAGCCTCCTGAATACTGGGGTTACAAGTACAGGCCAGCACGCATACTTGACATTTTGTCTTGAGGAGCCAACTATTGTACACTATTGTGCATATGCTCCCCCTTTAAGAGCGGATTTTGCTACCTCAGCATCCAGCAGTGCTCTGAAGCTCCCAGTTAGTAAACGGAGGTTAACGTGCCTTGGCCTTGCAAACCATAAACAAGAAGTGTGTCTTATAACATAAGCATATGTGGGCTGCTGCAACCCCCTTTCCACCAACTGTCTACTTGAGCACAAATTAGCGCCCCTAAGGTTCACCTTCCCCATCACACAAAAGGGACAATACAAGAATGTGGGGTAAAGCAGATCGGTCAGCAAGGTGAGAACTTCCAGCTGTAGATGCCACCGGGAACGTCCCATTCTTCTCACCCGCAAAAACTCCACGCCCCACCCCGCCGCCTCACCCGAGTTCGCACTCGGTCGGATCCCACCCGCGTGCCCCGAGTGCCCCGCGCCCACAGCCGCTTGGCTGCGGATTTCTGTACACGCCGCGGCAAACTCTGGGACTGACATCCCTCTGATGCCGGAACTTTAACGCGACAATGAGAGCCCCCAGAGCGCTTGCGTCTGGCCCAGCCACAGCGCCGCCCACGTGGCACCCCCCGTCGCACCCTGTGTTCTGGAGGCACAGTGAAGAAACCTTCCTTACGGATACACTTCAGTCGAATCTGATCTGACTCTAGGTCCACCTCCGCCATGCCGAAGCCGGTGCCCGCCCCCGCCACCCACTTCCAGCGCGCAGGCGTAAACCGCCCCTTTAGCGCAGGCGCACAACGTACTTCCGGTTTGTTCTGGACTTTGCCAACACTGGGAACATCACCTAAGCATTCTCTGGAGGGTCGCCACTCCGGATTTGCTCATTCGCGGAGGTTTCGGTCCCTTTTCAGCGTTAGGTGCAGACACAACCCCACAAAGTTGCTTTAAGTACCATCCCTGGCTAAACCTGCAGAGGACTCTGGTTTCTGATCAGCTAGAAGAAAATGCTTCCCTTTCTTTCTCCCATTTAAGTGAGACCAGTTCCAGCACATCAGCAATGCTTTCTGCTCTTCAAGGAGACTACTGCAAAAGAACAGTGCTTTTTGATAGTGGTTGGGTACATTCTCCGAAAACTGGTTCTGTGGGAACCCAGTCATTCCTGAGGCCAACCTTTTCCCATCACTAGTCAAGGACAAGAGAGAAGCCTTGTACAGAAAGGGTGTACATAGTACACAAGGAAATAAGAGATGCTTTCCTGTTCTTCCTTTCTAGTCCACATTTGTCTTCCTGGTTTGGGAGACCGCTGGGAAGGAATTAATGCGCTGGCCACTGGAGGCCAACTCTAGCCCAGGAGGTTCTGTGAGGCTGACTCAGCTCTTGAACTGTGTGATGGAACTCAGAACACCATTGGTCTCTAATCCTTGGTGGAAGGTTTATATATATTAGGAAAGTGAATGTTCGGGCTTCTAAGTGCCCAGAGCCCAGGCCCATGTGGGCACTATACTTATGTCAATGCTATAGTTGGTGTTTGGACATGGTAGCATATGCCTGTAATCCTATAATCTGACCACTCTGTAGGCTGAGGCCAGAAGATTCTGAGTTCCAAGCCAGAACAGGATGCATAGCCTGGCTATCTCAAAACAAAAGAAGACTTTCAGTAGCAAGTCTTTAACATAATTTTTGTTTTGTTTTGTTTTTTGTTTTTCGAGACAGGGTTTCTCCTGGAACTCACTCTGTAGCCCAGGCTGGCCTCGAACTCACAGAGATCTGCCTGGCTCTGCCTCCTGAGTGCTGGGATTAAAGGCGTGCGCCACCACCGCCCAGCTCTAACATAATTTTTTAAAATATAATTTATTTACTTATTTTTTATTTGTATTGGTGTTTTGCTGCATGTATGACTGTGTGAGGATGTCAGATCTTGAGTTACAGACAGTTGTGAGGTGCCATGTGGGTGCTGAGACTTGAACCCAGGTCCTCTGGAAGAGCAGTCAGTGCTCTTAACTGCTGAGCCATCTCTCCAGCCCCTAATGTAATTTTTTTAAAGTAAGATTTCTGCCAGATTATTTGCCCTTTTACATATTTTTTTTCTCTTGGAAAATTGTTTTTCTGTGGGTATGTTGTCACACACCTGTAATCCCAGTAGTCAAGAGAGGATTGCTGTGTGTTCAAGGCTGACCTGGGCTACAGAGTGAGTTCTAGGCCAGACTGGATTGGATGTGAGACCCTATCCCTGTCTCAAAAAATAATCTGAAAATACAACTCAGTGATACAGTATCTATCTGCCTAGCATTGTGTGAATTCCTAGGCTCACTACTCAGCATCACATACACAAATCATTTTTCAAAGTCATTTAGGTTCTGTATATGAACATATATATCATCAGGCCTGCAAGGATGTACTAGATAGTATAATACATACTTTATATACTAGCTGGCCTCCTGTATATATTAGAAACTGGGGTTGGACAGATGGCTCAGCAGTTAAGAGCACTTTCTGCTCTTCCAGAGGATACAGGTTCAATTCCCAGCACCCACATGGCAGCTCACAACTGCCTGTAATTCCAGTTCCAGGGGATCTGACACCTTCATACCAATGCACATGAAATAAAGCTTAAAAAGAAAAAAGCAACTGTTGACATGTGTCATAGGCAACAGATCCCCTCACCCTAGTACAGCAAGAAGGTTGTGTTTGTGATCCCGGTGGGGATATCAGTGTCTCTGGTTTTGTTAGCCCACAGAGGCCAACCAATATGGCAATTAATGAAAAAAATAGACTGCTACTAGACCACATGTGAGGAACGAGGCTGGGAAGGGTATTCTTTCAACATCCAATCTGATCTGAAGTTTGCTAGTGAGGGTGGAGTCAGCTGCAAAGATGTCTTATGGCAGCATATTGGCACTCCTAGTGGCCTTCTCCATAGACCCTTCATCCACAGGCCAGAAAAACAAGACAGTATTCCTAGGCTATTGTCAAAGTGCAAATGTCTAGACCTGACTTTACAGGCTCCATCTTAGGGAAAGGGCCACCATCTCAGACCACCTACTGTACTCAGTTCCAGGAAGGACCTCAGGAATGTGCCATGACAACTCAAACAGATACAGAGCAGTATGCTCCTGCAGACATCCTGTCTGTGGTTTATGGCCCTTGAAGATATCTAGATAATCCTGCTGAGCAGTCCAGATAATCATGTTCAGCAGGTTGTGGTTCCCCCGCCAAAAGTCTAACTCAATGGTTTCAAATGTGGTTTCGCGCCCAAAGACCAATAGTTTCAGAAAATCACCTTGTCCCATATCCCTTCTACCCAGTCCCAAGTTGTCAATTCCTGGCTTGTGGTTTCTCCCTATAAAAACTCTCTACACCTGGGCTCATGGCTACCGCCACATTTCCTTCCATCTGCCGTGCGGGTGGCCCAGGTTGAACCTGAATAAAAGGACCCTTATTGCTGGCTATGGAAACTGGCTCCTTGGTGGTCTCTGGGGGGGTTTCGAGAAAACAGGTACAACAAAAGTCCTAAGTGCCCTGCTGCCCTCCTCAGATCAAGGACACGCCACATTCTTTTGAGTCTTTAATACAGACAGCCAAGCTAGGATCCCACCAGCCCTGAGGGCTCTTTGCTCTTGAATGTAACAGTTAGTTCTCAGACTGGCTTTTTCCCCAGACCCAGGGGCATGTCATTTACTAACTTCCAAATGCTCCCACCACACACGTTCAGGAGCAAATGAGCAGAGAGGATTTTAAATGCCCACCCGAGTCACGGTGTGAGCTGCTGCCTGATGTCCTACCACTGCAGACCTGGCTATTCCCAACACACACGCTAGTCAGACCTTCAGGACCTCCAGATTTCCTCTCTGAGCCAGCCACCCTCTCCCCATCAAGCCGCCGCTGACTTTGGGAAAACTAAAATAGTCACTGAGACAGAACTTCAAAGACTGGAGAAGGTCATTCAGCACCAGCACAGGGAAGGGTGGCCCTTCTGTCAGCCTAGCTGACACTCAGATCACAGTAAACAGTCACAGCTACCGGGAGCTCTCGTTTATTCTGTGTGGTGTTCATTATAGGCTGCTATTGTGCTGGGGCTCCTGTGTCGGTAGTAAGGGCCCCAATCAGCATGTTCCTGAATGGTTCTCTGATCTTCACTGTCAGGGATACCATAGCTGATTAGTGTCTCATTTGAGGCTCGAGTGATGATGATCTTCGGAATGACATTTCTCTTCTTGCTCGACTTTAGTTTTGTATCAGGTTTGTCTAGAGGGAAGAAAACATCCATCCATTTAGTGGGTGTGTGGAAACTTCTTCCATGATGAAGACAAGGCCTGTCTTAGATCCCAGCAAAGAAAACAGATTCATGGCCAGCAGGAAAAACAAAACAAAACAAACTGTGCCTGATGTTTCAATTCCAATACTCAAACATATTCGCAGCTCACAGGGGAAGCTATGAGTACTAGATATACTCATGCAAGGAAGAAACAGAGGAGACTACATTTCATGAGCTGCAGGACAGCTTCAGTCTGACAAGCACAGGGCACTACATTCCTTTGAGTCCTCAATACAGACAAGCTAGGATCCCACCAACTCTGAGGTCTCTCTGTTCTTGAACTGTCAATTTTTGCTTGTTTGTTTTGTTTGTTTGTTTGTTTGTTTGTTTATTTTAGAGACAGGGTTTCTCTGTGTAGCCCTAGCTGTCCCAGAACTAGCTCTGTAGACCAGGCTGTCCTTGAACTCACAGAGATCTACCTGCCTCTGCCTCCTGAGTGCTGGGATTAAAAGTGTGTGCTACCACCATTTTGGCAATAGTTAGTTCTCAGACTGGCTTTTTCCCCAGATCTGGGGGCATGTCATTTACTAAGTTCTAAGTGCTTCCACCATACACCTCCAGGAGCAAATGAGCAGAGAGGATTTTAAATGCCCACCCGAGTCACGATGTGAGCTGCTGCCTGATGTCCTACCACTGCAGACCTGGCTTTTCCCAACACACATGCTAGTCAGACCTTCAGGACCTCCAGATTTCCTCTCTGAGCCAGCCACCCTCTCCCCATCAAGCTGCCTGATCAGCTAGAAGAAAGTGATCTACCTCTAAAGTTAGAGGGCTCAGGTCTCCAAAGAATTCCAACTTGTAAAACATTTCTGTTCAGAACTATGGGTCAGAATGTTCTAGAAAGAGGCATTCCTGATACTGTCAACATTTTCACATACTTGCTGAGGTTACAGGAAGTATATAAACCCCCAAAAGCCATAAGATACATATGTTACCCTATGGTAAATACACAAACGGGCCAGGAGGTAGAGGTGTGGCCTTTAATCCCATCAATCCCAGGAGGCAGAGGCAGGATCTCTATGAGTTTGGGGTCAGCCTGGGCTACAGAGCGAGTTCCAGGACAGTCAGGGCTGTTACACAGAGAAACCCTGTCTCAAAAAACCAAATAAATAAATAAATGAACAAACAAATAAATAAATGTTGAGCAAGGCATGGTGGTGCACACCTTTATTCCAAGAACTGGAGGAGGCAGAGGCAGGCAGATCTCTGTCAGTTCAAGGCCATCTTGGTCTACAGAGAGAGTTCTAGGCCATCCAGGGATACATAGTGAGATCAAAATATTCACGGGTACAATGCACGCGTAGCACACATGAGGCCCTGGGTTCAACCCTCAACTCCCACCACACAAAATCATATACACAAAAATAGCTGGGTGTAGTAGCATAGGCTTTTAATCCCAGCACCTAGGAGGCAGAGGCAAGAGGATCTCTGCGAGTTCAGGGACACCCTGGTCTACACAGAGTTCCATGCCAGCCCAGGAAGCATAGTAATACCCTGTATCAATCAATCCATATCATTGAACATGGAGAAGTCAAGCTTGTGCCTACCTGGAGCCTTCACCCCATTAACCCGCCTGTGGTACTGGATGGTACTCCGCACACCACTGAAGGAGAAAGGCAAACACCAATCCAGCTACAAACTCTTCCATCAACAATGGTGACCTGCATGCAAGATGAGGTAGTGCAACAGTGGCACAGAGCTTGAGGGAGCAACCAACCACTATCTGATTGGATTTAAGGCCCATCCATGAGATGGAACTCATCACGGACACTGCTCAGGTGGCCAAGAACATGAGACTAGATTGGCCAGGAATCTAGGGGCTAGATTGTAGGGCCAAATACTGCTGCTCTCCCAAAGGAACATCGAGAAAAAAAATGATCCTAACAACATTCTGTCATGCTCGATGATCATCGTCTTGCTCAGTCATCATTAGAGAAGCTTCCTCCTATAGTAGATGGGAATAAATATAGAGACCCACAGCTGCACAATGTGCAGAGAATGAGAGACATTGGAACACTCAGTCCTAAACTGAATGTCTCCATCAATTCACTCTCCTCAGGACTCAGGGAACCCTGTGGAAGAGGAGGTAAAAAGACTGTAAGGGCCAGAGAAGAAAGAGAAGACCAAGGAAACAAGGCCTTCTAAACACAGCAAGACCAATGA